AGACAAATTCCTACCAGAGCAAGGTATTTCTAAATTTGTAAGCATTTTCTAAGCCATAATTTGCTGTGCACAGCCAGAAGCTTTTCCAAACAATTTTATATTATGAGACAAAGTAACAATCTTCAAACAATCCCCAATTCATCTAAATGTTTGGGTGTAAACACAGCATCTAAATATACATGAGGAATGACTACTGTGAAAATTGCTGCATTTAGCTATCAGTGCTTCTGCACTTTCCATACTGCAGTGGAAATACTAGATTATTGGCTGGCAATGTCTTATTTGTTCCGGTCTCATCTACTGGAGTTGCACTAACTTAGCTGCTTGTTTTTCCTAAAACTGAGCAGCCTGGTCTAGTGGGGAGATGTCCCTGCCCAGGGCAAGGTGAGTTAGGACTAGATGACCTATAAAGTCCATTCCAACCCCTAAAATTCTATGATTCTATGAAATACTTTCTTGAGCTAACAAAGATACATTCTCTTTTTAGCACTCCCACCGTCAAATACATTAGACCTTGCTGAAGTTCATAAATAATGACTCTCAAGCCACTTGCTGAGCTTGCTGTGTTCTGCTCTTGCTGCCCTGAAACCTGAGGAACACCCATACTGTATCTTGCCGAGTAGGAAGGAATGTCCTGTGCAATGCCTTAGAGTAATATCTCTGCTGATTTGCCAGGACTCCTAGTGCTTCTGGTCATTAATCTTTCTCAGCTGAAAACAGATGGGGCTATTAGGCAGGCTGGAGTAATGGGGAAACTGGCAAGATAGAGAAGGAAATGCATTATCTTCTGGATAGAATTGCACATAAAAATGAGAACATTAAAAATGTATTTTTCATCTTTAATTGGACAATATATGATTATACCTACCAGAAAATAACGTGCAATGTGCTTTGTGCAGGGTATTTATAAATTGCTCAGCTGTGCTAGGGCCTTATTTTCCCCTGTGGAGAGAAACAGGAGCTACAATTCCAACCAGGTTTTTTGTGCTTTTCTCTCTAACGCAGGGTTTACTCTGCTGCAACAGCTACTGCAAACAACACTGCAAAGTGCCTCTGCTTGTTGCAGTAAAAAGGAAATGTAGTTTAACAAACCACATGAAGCCTACCAGGTAAAAATTCAGTACTTTAGGAATAATGTAAGCGTATGTCATATTCAGTCTAACAAAAGCAATGGCACTGCAGGTACAGCTGCTAATTCCTTTATGTCACAGAGTCCAAGAGGATGATTACAAACAGAAAAACATTACAAATTGCAAAGTGGAATCAGATTGCTCACATAGGAAACTAACCAGGCTGGAAGGAATTACTAAAAGTAGGGCTTGGAAAAAAAATCTGATAGTATACTAAGGACTATCCAGGATAAACAAAGACATTTTCTAGGCCTGCCAGGTAGGCAAATGGTAGATGACTCTTAGCTAGAAAACAATAGGATGAAAACTACAGCCAAACTTTTGGAAGTTTGGCTGTAGTGACAACAGAGAAAAAAACATGGAAATATATTAGAGGGTTACAATAAGGCATCAAATACAGGCAAGTGCTTTGCCCAAAACTTAAACTTGCAAAGCCTGTTTTATCTAAGGGAGAAGCATGAAAAAAAAAGATGAGAGGACTGGGTCCCAGGCAGCAGATTATTATTTGCAATAATAATTATGTCTGAAACGTGGTTGGGATGTCAGAAGGTGCTTGGCAATACACAGTTCAGGCTTTGGGACTTGAAAAGTTTGCAGTGACTCCTATGTGTCAATGATTTGTTGTGGAGAAGGGAAAAGGGAAACACAGAACAAAATGTGTCAAGATAAGAGCCCCAATTAGATGAACAAAATAATTTTGTCAGATTTGATTTCTGATCCCTTGACTATGAAAAGGTTAGGATTCAGGAAGGTTAAAGAGGAAAATACAAACCCTCTAAACCTAGTAGGGTGATACTCAATGCAAATTTTAAAGCAAACCCCCTTTTTTCTTTGTAAAGGAAGAATCAGTGGCCCTAAATAAAAACGAACAGAAAAACTGAAGTCCTCAGGCTAAAAATGGAAAGGTCTTATAAAGAGACATGGAGTATGGTAACCCCTTAGGTGAATGGAAGACAAGTCAAGGAAATGTGGATATGAATAAATTGGGAATTTTCTAAGTTATTCAGGCCAAATAGGAAACTTCAGATATTGGAAATCCAAACCATGTAAAGTTGAAAGGAAGGTATGTAATAGTTAAGATGGAGTTTGAGGAAGCTAAGTGGGAATTGGAAGAGCAAACAGTAGGAGGTTAAAACTGAAAATACACATTTGCTCAGTACACCAAAAGCAGAAAAGTGGAGATAACCAGTAGGCCACCCCAAACAGTAAGTAGAAGAAACAATTAAAGACAATAAGGACATTGTCAAGAATCTAAATGATTTATTTGCATCAGTCTTCACTGAGAGGGTGCTGGAGTGATGTCTAAATGAGAGACTCACATTTTCCAAATATTAAAGATAAGGAGAGGTCATAGACTGAAGACTCAAGAGAGAAGTTGGTGGAACAAATCAATAAATCAAAGGCATTAACTCACCAGGTTTATCTGCTATTTCTTTAAGATTTCAGGAGAAAACTGAGAATTAAGTAACAAAGTTGCTAGTAAATACCTAGTAGAACAGAGGACTGGAAGACAGTCAGTGTTATAACTGAGTTGGGGATTTTTGTTGTTGTCGGTGGTGATTTCTTTCATGGTGTTGGAGAAGCCCTGGCAGTTACAGACAGATATGTAATCCTAACTTGCTATCAGATAAATTGGCTGAAATGTGCTGAAAAAACCCAAGCCCCACACCTCCCAAATTCTGAAACACAGAGACAAACATGACATGACAGATACAAGTCACCACGGTGACTAGAAGGGAAAAATAAAGGGACCTTTTGTACCTTCTACCAATCTTCTAGCTGGTTACACCAGCCAGCACACCTAAGCCTACCCAGGAGGATCCATGACTCACTGTACAAACAGGCAAGTAGCAAATTGTTACTTCCCCCTCCCCTATCCTCATCACAGGACCACTGAGAAGAGAATACTATGCACGTTGGTAATGGTACATCCAAACAATGTACAGGTCCTTGCTACAGGCTATGATCCTGCAGGGCAATCCAGATCATCCTTGGGCAATACTGCTAAGCCAAAGAGAAATGTACATCTGGAAATGAAAGTTTTGAAAATATATGAAACACAGTGGCGGCCACATTGAAGCTCTGACTGGAGATTTTACATAGGTACAACCAGTGTTGGGCCCTCTTAGGTCAGCTTTTGGTATCTTTCTGCACATTGGCTAAGAAACAGGACTCTACTGCAGGGTTCTTCTCACTCTCAATAAGCACAGTGACCTGAGCCTTTAATGGTGAGTAACACGAGACTTGGGGAGTTAAGATTTTGGTTTTTTAAAAAGAATATATATCTTAGCCAGGACTAAACACTCATTTCACTTCTTCCTAGCTCTTTCCAGCTTTTTATGTAAATCTTTACATAAAGCCATTAAGAACAGGAAAAAAAAAAAGCTCTTTGGAAAATTATGCAGTGATATATTCTTACGCAGCCAACACTCCCAGGGGAAAAAGTGAAAACTACACATAGCCTCCCACCCCTTTTTATTTCTTGTCAAAGATGTTGCCTCCTTTTTTTTTTTTTTTTTTTTTTGGCTGTTCTTATATATACAGAGAATGATGAACTGATATTTGTAGTTTAAATGTCTGGTTTAACTGCGTGGTTTCCACCGTAACAGAAAGCTCTCACAAAATGTCAGGTTAGAAATAAAACCAAGCTCTAGAGGGTTGAGGTGGGGAGGAAAGTAGAAGGTCCAGTGGCTGAAAAACAATATGGAAAAAATGTGAGCAGAACACAGTGTGGATCCATTTCCCAACTCAGGCAGTGGTATTGGTACATGTGGTTGTACAGGGATCTGGGGTAGGGAGACAGACACATTTCTCACTGAGTTGTTTCTGCTTTCTCTATTAACATTGCAACAGAAATTACAAATAGCCCTGCAAGGGGTAGTGCATTAAACCTCATCTCTTCATCCCATGTAAACACAACATTAATACTGAAGATAAAGAAAATGGTAAAAAGTCCAGTGTCTTGTTTTCTGCATTTTGCTTGTTAGGTTTCCTGTTCGCCCTCCAGCATACTCCTGTGTGTACCAAAGTTGTGAACTTAACCAGTCCACGTTCAAGCAAACACTCACACTCAGATTCCCAACACATTCTTTTCTCCCCCTCGAATGGGGAGTTTATTCCTAACAGTTCTGCTCCTTTTAATTATAAACTCCTTTAACGAAGTAGTTCTGAGACCTTGCAGCAGGCAGCAGGAGAGCACCAAGGCTACTAGTTGCCTTTTTACTAGTTTATATTCCCTGTTCAGCAATGAAGTCCACTTAAAGCCTAAGGCCCAGTGCCTTCATGGATGGGCAGCACTGAAATGAGCCTACAAATCAACATTCCCCTGGTACGATGTGCCTTACAGGTAAAATCCAATTCTTGCCTAAAAAAAAAGATAAAGAGTTAGAGCCAGGCCCTTTATCTTAGGAGACACAGTGAACCAGTTGCTCTGGTGAGCAACCATGAGATCTTACACTGACGACTTTTGTTCACTTTCTGGCAGAGCTACTGATCTTCTTTACTGGACCACCAAAATTGAAGATGGGAAAGAAACACAAGGGAGACATTTCCTTGTTAAGGAAAGGAGCAGCATTTAGGACTGGGGAAAGGCAGGGTGGAATATAGGGGATTTTCCTGATATAAAACAATTAATTTGAGAATGAAAGACCGACTGATATCATGTATACACCTAAACCAGTAACACACCTTCTCAGGAGTGCAGTACTGTATAAGTGTCCCCTGTGTTTCTGAGGCTAATTCAGACCTTTGGCTCATCCTGCATTAACAAGGTCATCCATGTTAAGAGGGCCCCTGTGAAAGTTCACAGGTGAAAGTTCCCTTTTAGAGTAGTGCAGATTTGAAATTCACAGGACAGCGACCCGAAGATCTTCCTTTACAGATAAAAAGCATGTCAAATTATTAAATAGCAACATGAAATCCTCTATTTTTGAAGGTCTGTCTTTGCTCTGCTGTTAAGAGAGCAAAGTGCATTCCCAGCCCCTGCCCAGTCCCCACCTTTGGTGGCATGGAGAGCGCCTGGCTGGCCCCACTCACAGACACCTCACGAATGCTAAAGCCAAAAGGCCTGGGGTAGTCGGGGAAGGGACGAATGAACATAGTCCGAAGACATGTCACTTCAAATTTCTACTGTTAGAACTGCCAAGTATGATATAAAACCAGAAAATATCTCTCAGTTTGAAGTTTGAAGACCAGGCCCCAAACGTTGAGTGGCTCTTCCTTCCGGTGTCCCTGTTTCCCACACGTGGGCTCTGTGGTGCTAGCTGTTGTTCTCTGCCGTGAGATATTTGAGGGCTGCAAAGCCGTAGTGGCGTGACATGTCCTGCTGGAACTCCTCCTTCAGGGTCTTGAGACAGATGCGATATTGCTTGTTGGAGCGAAACTTGGTGATGTCGAAGCTGGGGGCGTGTGGCATGTGGATCATGTAGGCGTTGGGCAGCACCGTGAACTCGTACTCCTGGGGGAGAAAGACACCGACTGTGAGGGTATTCCCCAGCCCTCTAGTGTACCTCCACAGGCAAACATGTTCCTTCCTGTAATTGTGCAGTGTGGGTCTCAGAAACAACAAACCCATGCAGATAGCTCAAATAAATCTTTTTTTTTCCCCCTCAAGTAGCTTTTTCTTGCTTTTATGAAAGATCAGTTGGTTTTAGCAAAGATTCAGGTTAGATGTTAGGAGGAGAAATGTTTTCCCTGTTAGGGTGCTCAGGCACTGAAATAGGTTGCCCAGGGAGGTGGTGGAGTTACCATCCCTGGAAGTGTTTAAGAGGCATCTGGATCTGATGCTAGAGGATATGGTTTAGGGTTTAGGGGTTACAGCAGTGACAGGTTAATGGTTGAGCTTGACGATCTTAGAGGTCTCCTCCAACCTTGATGATTGAATGATTCTATGATCTACTTTCTCTTTTCATAAAATCACAGAATGGTTTGGGTTGGAAGGAGCCTTTAAAGGTCACCAAGTCCAACCCCCCTGCACTGAGCAGGGATATCTTCAGCTAGATCAGGTTGCTCAAAGTCCTGTCCAACCTGACTTTGAATGTTTCCAGGGATGGACCATCCACCACCTCTCTGGGCAATCTGTTTCAGTGTTTTACCACTCTCATGAAAAAAACCTCAAGTGTTTTCAAACATTTTATTCCACATAAGCCAAATAATAGGAAAACTGTATGAAAGGCACACCTGAAGCCATGTCTGTAGCAGTGTGCTTGCAACCAACACAGCTGTGACTGCACACAGCATGGGTCTCAAGTACCCATGCTAAAACATGGCTTTGTCCCTACAATTTATCTTGCTTGGGATGCTGGAGTAAGCTATATTTACAAAGGCCAAATTGCGTCATATACATTGCTTTGTCTATATACTAAGATACTTACAGAGACAAAACTGTCCAAAACTATTTTTCAACCTGAAATAAGGGGAAAATATGATATCATTTACATGTGATGTGTGAAAATGAACCTGCTAATTCCATATGCTTTGAGAGGGCATTACTCAAATTCCTTCATGAAGTATGAGATACTGTGCTGATTCTCCTTCTGCAAAACTACTTCTCTGCTTCTGTTTATTTATATCCGACCAAGTTCTTTGACAATTTCTGTTGTCAAAAACTGATGGTTCTCTAAGTCTCAATTACTCCTGTTAGATTCTTTCAATTTTTATAGTTAAATACATGAACATTACGGCAAAGCTAGGAAAAGGCTGATCCTTAGACAAGCTGAAAGTTCACTAGTGTAGAATGTGCAACATCCAGGTATCTCCTGAATGGGTAGAAAAGTAATGTGAACATCGTTATTCTATAGTCAGTCAAAATACCTACAACAGAGTGGCAGCCTAGTGGTTGACTTAATGATCTCAGAGGTCTCCTCCAACCTTAATTATTCTATGATTCTACGCTAACCACTAGGAATGCCACCTCTGTTTTCATATGGAATTTCAAGAAGTCTGAGTTGTGTGGGATGCAAATGACAAAGAACGTCTGAAGCTTCCACAAGTAAATTTCCTATTGGTTGCACACAGTTTCTATCTACAGCTGTTGCTGGATTGACTCATTAAGCATCTCTGCATAGGACACTGAGTGGGGAAGGAACAGCCACAGAGCACAGTGGCTTTAAAAGAGGTGGTGCACGACTTCCTCTGGTTTGCAGTGTCCAGTCACTTGTAGATTTAGGAGTCTGTGCAGAGGCACAGAGTATCTGCAGCACAGAGGCAGAGCACTCCAAAATATTTCAGTTGGGAAAGATTGATGGGAGAGAACACACTTGTGCTAATAAACATATTTCACCTTTCTTCACCTAACAAACTATGATCAAGCCAGAGAAGACTGAAAGCCTCTGGGTTACAATGCTACCAAAAACCAGGTGCTTGAGCAATACAGCCCAAATTAAAATGGAAAAAACATGAACAGAATGCAATGTGGATCCATTTCCCAACTCAGGCAGTGGTATTGGTGAGCCTAAAGTGTAGCAAAGGCTGTAGCGCTTTCCCAGAGACGTTTGTGAAGCAGTAGCATGTGCTGGACAGTGAGGTGTAGATGCAGTGGTATGAATGCTCCTTCCTCCTTAGGAGATGCCTGTTCCCTGCCAGACAGTGCTAAAGTGGTAAATCTTTGTGCCAATTTACAATAGTGTCATATATATGGGAATGAGGCCCTCTGAGCTACTGTTTAGAATGACAAATGTATAACAAGAACAAAATAATCTGATGCTCACAGGCAGAGCTTATTTGGCTGGAAGATCCTTCTAAGTTATGTGGAATCAAATGGAAAAACAAAGGCTGGCACCATGGAGTGAGGAGAGCTGATAAACTGCAAGTTATCAAATATGTCTCTATGGGACCTTAAAACTAAGGGCTGAAACTGCACAGGAAGATGCATTTCCCTCATACAACCTTTTCTTTGTTCTCTGTTTGCGTCTCATGTCTGTAGTACTGCAGGTTAGGGACTGTCTGTGCTCTGCAGTGGTGTTCATTTGGTGCAGTGGTGTTCCCATCCCTCTAAAAGGCCTTCAGGGACATAAACCCTTCAAAAAATTTTTGAGTCTGCTGCTAATAGTCCCCTTTGAAATATGCCGGGCTGGGGTCCTGGAAAATGGGATGCTCACAGTCTAGTTCCACAGTTACTGGAAGAATGGGGAGAAGTTTCCTAATGAGCCCTCCCTGCTATGTGAAAACTTCTGTTGAGAAGGCAACACACTTGCAGGAACCTCTGTCCCAGTCTCACGGGTTATAAATTCTTTAGATAGAGACTGTTACTATCTATGTATTTGTACAGCATCCAGCTCAGTAGACATCTGCATGCCCCCAGAATAACAACCACGATTATCTCCATGCAGTGTTCTGCTCTGAGGGATGGTTGTGGCACAGGCTTTTGGTGAGGAATCTGAAACAGATCTCTTGACAGACACTGCTGTTGTGAGGAGCAGTGAAATAGCTCAATAGAGAAACTGCTCTGCATGCTGGTAATGAAGCCAGCCAAGAGCTGGCAGCAACCTGATCTGTGGACACCCCAAAGCAGAGGAATGCTACAGGGGGAGATAGCTGTGCGATCCCATATCTCCTCCAGGCTGACTTTGCGGGAGAACAGGCCAATACCCATGTTGCTACAGAGGAAAATGAAACTTCTTTTGAATGTGCTAATGTATTCAAGGCTAGAAGAGTGAGAAAAACAATTTCCCAGAGTTAGTTCCAACCTAATGGCCATTTAAAATACCTGTGCTATGATCAACTTTGAAATATGTTCCAATTCCCATGTGTGAATCTCTATGCTGGGCAGACATCTCTGAAGGAAGAATTAAACCACGAGTGCTAGATGCGAGCTGCCAGTGGGAACATAAGCCTTGTAATCCAGATTAACAAATAATAAATCATTACCCTGACACTCTCCACAACTGATGGTTAATTGATCAGTATTTGGAAAGAGCACTGGAAAATTACAGTGCTATAGAGGCAAAGTATTATTTGCATTAATATAAGGGAGAGGTTTTTTTTCTAGTAATAACTTCTTCTCAACATAAGAAGGTACAAATTTGTTGGGAATTCCCTTCTGCAAACAGAGGGCAAGTGGCTGCCAGCCTAAGGTGACCATGTGGTTTTGTGAGCCAGAGTAGAAAATATCCCTCCCATATACATACCTGCATGCAAATGCATTGTAGCCCACAGCCCAGAGACACCATCTCACACTAATGTGCTCCATGCCTTGTGCAGCTCTGCTTCACATAAACTGGTAAGAGTTGAGCAGAGAAGGATCATCTATATTCCAGAGTCATAGCAGAAGCCATCACAGAAGGATACAGATGGCCAAACCCCACTTTTTATGGTTAGCATGAAATGCTACTACTTCAAAAACTGGGATTGAAACCAAATTAAAAAAACCCACAACAAATGCAAACTAAAAAGAAATGCCATGGTCCAGACATTGCTGATTAGCACAGTGGTTAGCTTCCCATCCAAGAACAGCAGGGTGATGCAAACCCTGCCATTTCAGTGTGCAGCAGTACTGGGCTCCCATGGAGCTATAGTCACTGCCATCTTCTAAGCCCTAGGTCGGTGGCAGGGACCTTGGCAGCTCTGATAGCTCTGGTGCCAGTCTGGGACTCCTGAGCTTTCTCTGCAGCCTTATTCTTACAAATTCTGCCCAGCAGCTTCATCCCAAGTCACATCCAAGAGGCAGGTAGCCCAAGGCTCAAGTGCTTGGATCCTTTAGAGTCTGCTCCGCAGCCCCAGACTTTGGAATTGTAAATACCTTGGCTTTGCAGAGATGTGCTGTAAATCCCAGCCAGAAACTGAAGATGCTTGCCTTGGATTCAACTGAAGATTACTTTTTGAATTCTAAATTAGCATTTGGAACTTGCCAGCCTCTGGTTAAATGAAATAAAAATATCCAGCTAGGTCTACAGCTTCTCTAGTAGGTAATGGGGCTGGCAACAACTCCTGCAATGCTTAGGCATGCTGTTGATCAGGAGGAGGCCACTGCGAGGGTTGTGCCACTGTGAAACAATGACTTTCTCAGCACTGACAAATAAATTAACTCAGCCTCAGTTCTCCATTTAATACTCGACAAGGATTAAACTGAGTGTTCCCAACTCCAGAAGCAATCCTTAGGGCGCTCGGTAAGGCCAGATGAGCACTTTGTCGATGCAAAGCCTGAAGCTTTTCTATGAGACACAAATTTAATTTTAACAGCCCTGCTGCACAGCCCAGGGTGAGATATGCAGGTGTCATCTCCTCACCTGTGCATCCAGTTCCATGATGTGAGCTACTTTGTTCCAGCCAAATCCAACAAACCGCCTGTCATACTCTGGGCAGTCCTTCCTCACCACGACGTATGGCTCAAAGTCTGCTTCCCACTCGACGCGGTAGGGAGTGGTGGCTGTTCGCCACTTGGCAAAGTTCGTTGGAGCATGCCCTTTCGTCCAGACGTGGTACCTTCAACAGACATAAATGGCAGGGATGTGGGGAGGCAATTAGACAGAAGGCAGCTTGGCGAGGCAACAAAATGCTACTTGTTAGATGAAATGCTCAAAAAACAAGGACATTAGCTTGCAGTTCACATAATCATTCTCAGGGTGTATCAGAGGCAATTTCTAGGACTGTTTCCAGCACGCTTCTCTATGTGCTTAATGCTTAAACACATCTAGGCGGTGAAGGATAGTGTGAAAACACTACCTCATGCTAATGTGAGAAACAATTACAAAGTACACAGACAGTTCATCTGCACCACAAAGTGCTGTGTCTTGTTCCTAGCAACCAAGCAGCTGTAGTCGGTGCTCTAAAATTGGTGTGAAATTCTGTAGCTCAGATAAGGTCCCTAAAATCAGCTACTTCTATACAACTGTGACATTCATGATCTGGTTTTGTCATGGTTTAACCCCAGCCAGCAGCCAAGAACCATGCACCCACTCACTCACTCCCCCACCAGCGGGACAGGGAAGAGACTTGGAAGGATTAAAGGGAGAAAACTCATGGGTTGAGATAAGGACAGTTTAATATCACTCACTCCCAGCGGGACAGGGAAGAGACTTGGAAGGATTAAAGGGAGAAAACTCATGGGTTGAGATAAGGACAGTTTAATAGGGAAAGCAAAATATGCACACACAAGCAAAGCAAACAAGGAATTGCTTCCTATAGACAGGTGTTCATCACCTCCAGGAGAGCAGGGACCATCATGCGTGATGATTCCTTGGGAAGACAAACACTGTAACTCCAAATATCCCTCCCTTCCTCCTTCTTCCTCCCACTTTATATACTGAGCATGATGTCATATGGTATGGAATATCCCTTTGGTCAGTTTGGGTCACCTGTCCCAGCTGTGTCTGCTCACAGTCTCCCATGCACCCCCAAATTCCTTGCCAGCATGGCAGTATGGAAAGCAGCAGAGGCCTTGGTTCTGTGTGAGCTCTGCTAGCAACAACAAAAACATCTCTGTATTATCAGCCCTGTGCTCTGCACAAATCCCAAACACAGCCCTATACTAGCCGCTGTGAAGAAAATTAACTCTACTTCAGCCCAATCCAGCACAGTTTTATATGCACTTTTATAATTTGCATGAGAGACATCTGTAGCTCTGGATAGATGTACCATTTTATAAATTACTTATATTACTATTGCAGGAACCAAGATGTGTAATTAAATTAATAAGTAAAATATTACACAAAGGCTTTCTGCTGTACATGCTACATTGTGGGGAGTACTCATGTGATTCCCAGTGAGGTAATCAATCTGATTTACAGAAAAAGATCCTTTTATACTTCGTTAATCTTGTTTAGGTCACAGCAGGTCTCTTCCAAGCGCAGCTGGAATCCACCCCATTAGTCCCGGGGTCAATGACTCTCTCACCCACTTATTCTTACACTTTCCAAAAATCAATGAGGCAATCTCTTTCTGCAGATTTATAGAATAAATAATGAAACAAAGGCATAGAAGGTATCTGTATTACAACACTCTGAGATATGCAATGGAAGAGACAAAACAAATATCTTGCCAGTTCATAACTTAAGGTGCACTGAATTCACAGGGATGACTCAAATGCTAAAAGGGATTTGAGCATTAAAGATTGCAGAATTATGACCTGAGGTAATGTTTCAATCCCAGAAATTCTCATAACATTGTGAGCCATTGCTAAAAACATGGACATAAAATCAAAGCCTAGGAGTTTTCACTTGAACCATGTATGCTTAGGGCTTGTAACAGGAGGAAGGGAGAGGTGTTCAGCTTCATTGACTCTCCATGTTCAGGGGAAGTGCAGGAGGACAGAATTATTGGGTTAGCACTGGGGTCCCAAGTAAAATATGGCCCTTTGTAGGCTGCATTTCTAGACTGTAAACAGGTTTCATCACTTGGATGAGACACTCCCCATGAGCTGCAATGTGCGCTAGCAGCCCAGAAATCCAATGGAATCCTGGGCTGCATCCAAAGGAATGTGGGTCAAAATGTCAAAAGAGGGGATTCTTCCCCTCTGCTCTCTGAGACCCACCTGGAATACGGCATACAGTTCTGGTGTCCTCAGCACAAGAAGGAATGGAACTGTTGGAGCAAGTCCAGAGGAGGGTCATGAAATTGCTAAGAGGACTGAAGCATCTCCCCTATGAAGACAGGCTGAGGGAGTTGGGGCTGTTCAGCCTGGAGAAGAGAAGACTGAAGAAGAGAAGACTGTGTGGAGACCTCATAGCAACTTCTCAATATGTGAAGGGCCTACAAGGGAGCTGGAGAGGGACCCTGTGTTAGGAACTGCAATGACAGGACAAGTGGTAATGGATTTAAAGTGAAGGAAGCAAAGTCTAGGTTGGATGAAAAAAAAACCAAACGTTTTTACTCTAAGGGTGGTGAGACACTGGCACAGGTTGCCCAGGGAGGCTGTGGCTACCCTGACCCTGGCAGTGTTCAAGGCCAGGCTGGATGAAGCCTGGAGCAATCTGATCTAGTGAGGAGGTGTCCCTGCCCAGGGCAGGGGGTTGGGACTAGATGATCTGTAAGGTCCATTCCAACCCCTAAATTCTATGATTCCATGATTCTATGATTCTAACAGTTATCTGTCTTGGGGACCTGGAACAACAAAACCCTTCCGTGTTAAAAAACCTGTCAGTGAATTAACTCTTCAGAGAGTATTAGAAAGCAGCCCCAGATTCACAAAGATGCTGACAATACTTAATGCCTTTGGAATCATCTCCAGAAAGCCTATTCCTTTTCTTGGCCTCTTTTGGAAATGGGTGGGTAACCTGCCCAGCCACTAATGTGCAGCTATCTATGCTGGGAAGAAAACTGTGATCACAATGTGGGGTTTAAAATGATCTAGGATTGTGGAGGATGCTATATCTTCTAAAATTCTACCTCCGGCATTTTGAAATTAATTATGATGATAATAATAATAATAATGACTACTAAACACTTATGAAGTGATTTGTATCTTCAAAGCCCCATACCAACTTTGATTAATTGAGAGATCCCTGCAGAGAAGCAGCCAAGTGCTGCTGTTATTCTAGTAACACACTCCCAGTGATTTAAACGGGGGGATAACAGGACACCAACCATAAAAAAACTTCAATTCTTTTCCGCTCTTTTTGGAGATATCAGTGCAAGCACTTACAGTAGCTCAAGTATAACCTCTGTGAGTCAAGAGAGCTAACCAGCAGGGAAAAATAAATAAGTGGGAACAGACAATGCAGGGAAAATATGATATTGGGATTGCATAGACAAAACCAAGCAGAAAAGAAGGACCAGACCTGATTGTACAAAACAAAATAACAACACAGATTGTTCACTTGCCTCTTCAGAATGACTGATGTGAGTGGAGGAAAAGAGGAAGGCAAAAGGATGGCTAAGGTCTGGACAAAGAGGACAATGAGTACAGGATGCTCAAATGAGGAGTGCACACACTAGTTATAAAAGAGTAATTAAACTGAAAACAAGAATTGGTAGAGTTTGGGATTACACACATATTTGTGCATACTATATATAGGTTTATATGTATAAACACACAAACACACACATCCATGTGTATATATACACACATACACAGATAATCTGCTGGAACTAGGTCATGGCCAATGGCTGATCACTGCATGAAATGTACTGCAAAGTAAGATAAGCAGACACAATTACATAGATGTCCATACAGAGGAAGCTACCATGAAAGGATGAATCATTTCCAACAGACTTTAGTCTCGGTGACGCAGCTGTGGGAAGTGGTTCACTGTCTATATTGGTCTTCCATCCCACAGAACAAATAAATCAATGTAATTTTCCTGCTCAGGCTCTTCTCACTCAAGTTTTAAATACATATTGAATTTTAAGGCTGCACTCAATCTCACTGAGTCCCAGGAGAACTTTGTGAAAATTGTGAACAACATATTTTTCACTATGCAGGCGATTTTGACAAATCCAAACCAAATCATTCGATCTCCGTAAAATGACGATGAGTTTCTTTCCCACAATTCATGGAAAACAACTGGAAAACAGTCCCCACTCCCCTCCTCCTCCACTTTGGATCAAATATTTCATTTTACTTGCATTATTGATTGCTTTTATTTAAAATGAAATATCGAAACTGTAGTTAACTTTGCTGAACTTATTATTCTTCTCAGAGTGTTCATCCTCCTTACCTCACCCCTATAAGCTTCCTGTTGCAGTGAGAAAGATGATTTGGTGAAAGAAAAGCCTTCCCAGTTCTGTTATCAGAAGCTTATACATTTTGCTGGATTGTGGATGCAATCAGTTAATTAGTTAATCAGTTGTTGCTTTTTATGTTTTCTCAATATGATGATGTGTCTTCCACCAGCTGTGGTTTCCCTTGTGCCTGAAAGTGTGTCAGGAGTATATTTGTGGTTCATCAGCTATTACCCAGGCACTGAGCAGGCACATCCTTTTGAGGCACACTCACAGCCAGCACCTGCAAACAAAGCCAGCAGGCTGGCACAGAGCATCCCTCTGCTGTGCAGGGTTCCCACGCAGCACACCTTGGCAGCTGCGGATGCTCACACGTCTTCTCTTTTCTCCTGGTGATGACAGAGGGATGTAATTGAGAGCCGTTTTGTACTTCTTAGCTGCCCAGAGGTAGAAAAGGTCACCATTTGGAAAAGAGGTGACAAAAGCAATTTCAGTGAGGGAAAGATTGTAATCTACTGTGTGGTGTGAGGGACTAGGATGCTGCAGGCGCTCTCAGCAATCACTGTCACAGCAGTCCTCCCCAGCTCACTCCTGCCTGCCCAGCGTCGAACCGCAGCATTATTAAAACACCTTAAAGGTGGAGGTGGAAATTCTCAGCCTAGATCACAGCTTCTTTGTGGCTGGTGATAGATTTGAGCAATGAAATGAGCCAAAGCAAACTGGGGAAGGATTTGTAAAATGTGTCTTACATTAATATGTACACCAGCTACAGACTGCATGTCCTTCAATTCCTATTTAACCTTGCTCTGGAAAAACTCCCACTGATGTTAAAGATATTTTTGCCTGAGTGAGACTTGAGAAAGGATTTGCAAATCTGGCTGTGTATGTAACAGACCAACATGCTGCATAGCTTGAAGATGAAATCTGTAGTGGAAGGCCACTGCAGGGCAAGCTGAAAATTTGACCGTTGGTGGAATGTGACATCTGAAACCCCTGAGGGTGTTATTTTCCTTTCAACTATGGGAGAGACAATTCTTTTCTATCCACAAATCTCTTGTTAATTTTTGTGTCTTTGGCTGTTAAAAAATGATGTCAGAGTGAAAGGTACTTGCTCTTACAGTATCCTTAAATAATTTTCCAGAGAGAGGCATGCCTCCCTCAGCCACCTCAAGTTTCTATTTCGAGGCAGTCACTGGTAGAGATAGTGTCAGAATTATGTTTTCCAGGCTCACACAGGCTGTCTGCTATGACGTGCATACAGCCAAGAGTGAAGGGTGGCTGCTGCAAGGAGAGAGGTGTGTAATATAGAGAATGGAAGAAGTGTGAGGAAAGCTCTAAGGTAAGGAAAGGATGGGAGAGGTGATACAGAGCTCCATCAGCCACGGATAATACTAGTTTTTTCAGAGCTTTTATCTCTAGATCTCAAAATACTGTCAAAAGGAGAGGTGAACACTGTTACCTGCATTTCAGGGATGGAGAACAGAGATGTAAGAAAGCAAAGTGATTCGTGTACCACCTCCCAGCAGGGCAGTAGTGGAGCTGAGAAGAGAACGTAGGTCTCCTAAGCCCCCTCTCTGTGCAACATCATAAGGCCATATTGTACTCTTCCCATCACTGAGATGCTTTACAAATGTCTGCTAATCAGACCTTACCACACACACCCAAGAGACAGTTAACCCCTGGTAGTTGCATTTTGAAACCAAAGAGTCTGGCAGATAATAGAAGTGACTTGTTCACAGCCACAAAAGGAGTTTGCTTCAGAGAGGAGCTCCAAATTCAGGTGTTCTATGCTCCTTAACTTGTAGTCAAGTACTCTTTTCCCTCTTCATGGAGAAACCAGGTATTTAAGCATCTGTTTCACACTTTACAAGAGCATATGACAAACATGCATTTGTTTTTTCAGTAAGTCAGGAAGAGAAGAAATGAGCAGAGATACATTACTTTTGGTCACATGAGAAGACACAGCTATCCAGACAGCATTTGGCAGCCAAAAAAGTAAATTACACACACTTGAGCGTAATGGTCGCGCTTGATTTTGTAGCACAATAAAAAATGATGAAAATAAAACAAATTCAATTTAACAACTGAAGTCCTTCAGTAGAGGGCTGCAATACTAGATAAAATGCTGAGCTTACAGATGGAATATATCCACATATGATTCTGTTCACTGCCTCTCTATGAAAAGGGGAAAAAAATTGCAATAGGTTTCTTAATGGAGATGACAGCGAGAGAAAAGAACCAAATATTCACAAGAACATAAAAATAGAGATAATGACCACAAGTTCAATAATACTTTCCATTACCTGAATGTGAAGAGGGTTCCCATGTCCAACATAGATAGCAGCTCTGCTTTTGACTTGGGAAAAGAGAGGCGGTAGCGTAAGGTCTCAAAAGCAGGTACAATCAGAGCTTTCTTGGTGTTAGCTAGGTCTAGCTGGATGACAGACTTCCTGGCAAAGAGAAACCACAAATAAAACAGGAAAATTTTAAACTGAGCAAATTGCTTGGCTTTTCAAAGTGAAGTGCAGAGAACAGGGAGTTTGATACTGTAAATGTAACCATATTTTTCCTGGGGGTGCTTCTTGTGCTCTTGGTCTACTGTGCTGACAGGAGGGAGAAAAACATAGTTCCAAATGGGCTTGTGTGTTTGAGCAGTGCTGCCCTGCATGTCCAGAGGTGCACAGACCTGAACCAGCACTTTGAGCATGGCACCCCTTTAAGAGAAACATGGTTGAATGTTACTAGAATATGGGAAAGGTCTGCCCAGCCAATGGCAGCTCTAAAACAATGGGATTTATCCAGGACTCAGCAGAAAAATGAGGAGATAGGGAGTTTGGTTGCACTTGAGCCTAGCTATTCTCTGTGCTATGCTGTGCCATCACCCTTGCTTTTTACCTCTGTACGTCCTCCAAGGTGTTACCTTAACACCACTACGGACTAAATATTCGCTCTTGAGAACACTGTTGCCATGAAAGTCAACCTCTGTTCAAGGCACAGATCTACTGCAACAGGGCATGACATCAGTCAGCAAAGCTGTACTTCAGCAGTAATTTGTTGAGTATTGTTAGTGACACACATGGTAGTGCCCAGAGCTCAGAGTTCATTTGTGCTTGGCTCTGTACACAGTGCAAAGAGACTGTTGCCTGCAGAGAAGAGCCATGCACTGGATGGACTGGGACCATGGAATCATAGAATTTAAGGGTTGGAATGGACCTTACAGATCATCTAGTCCCAACACCCTGCCATGGACAGGGACACCTCCTCACTAGATCAGGTTGCTCAAGGCTTCATCCAGCCTGGCCTTGAACATTGCCGGGGTCAGGGCAGCCACAGCCTCCCTGGGCAACCTGTGCCAGTGTCTCACCACCCTTAGAGTAAAAACGTTTTGCGAATACCTAACCTAAACTTCTCCTCCTTCAGTTTGAACCCATTACCCCTTCCCTTGTCCTATCATTGCAGTTCCTAACACAGAGTCCCTCTCCAGCTCCCTTGTAGGCTCTTCAGACATTGAAAAGTTGCTATGAGTTCTCCACGCAGTCTTCTCTTCTCCAGGCTGAACAGCCCCAACTCCCTCAGCCTGTCTTCATAGGGGAGATGCTTCAGTCCTCTTAGCAATTTCATGACCCTCCTCTGGACTTGCTCCAACAGTTCCACGTCCTTCTTATGTTGAGGACACCAGAACTGTGTGCAGTATTCCAGGTGGGGTCTCACGAGAGAAGAGTAGAGGGGAAGAATCACCTCTCTTGACCTGCTGCCCACACTGCTTTTGATGCAGCCCAGGATTCCACTGGCTTTCTGGGCTGAGCTCACACTGCAGCTCATGGTGAGCTTCTCATCCACTGTCACTCCCAAGTCTTTCTCCTCATTACTGGTCTCAATTACTTCCCCATCCAACCTGTAGGTGTGCCTGGGATTGCCATGACCCAGATGTAGGATCCTGCACTTCATTTTGTTGAACTTCATGAGGTTTGCATTGTTCCACCTCTCAAGCCTGTCATGGTCCCTCTCTAGCCATGACTGCTCCACACAGCTTGATTTTTCCTTTCTTTTGATGCAAGTTGTTCAGTGCAGAGACTGTTTTGGAGAGCGTGTGTACACATACTACATTTTGCACAGCAGGGCTCTTTTCCAGGCAGGGACCTTAGGATGACTGTTGCAGGAGAGGAGCAGCTTAGCAAACTCTCCCTGTGCCTGCCAGAGGTGTTCAATCTATTCTCTTACAACAAAGTAAAACTCAAAGAAAAAGAAGTTACTTTCCCATCCCCCAACTGAAACTTGCTATGCTTGTCATTAGAAATAACTGTCTCAATTTTCCTTTCATTATCTTCGTATTTCATACAGGAAATATGCCTCTCCCTGTCAAAGCCAGTTCCCCTTAACAGGATTCACTGTCCTGACTTTTATGTTACTGTAACAGGCAATCAGGGACAATGTTGACAAGCAGCAAACTCTCTAAAACCTTATATGATGTAGGAATTGGGATCACTGTCCTAATAACAGGAGGACCAAACAAACCATTTTCCTAGGCCCAGAATACCTAGAGTTCATTTATATTGCTGTCAGAGAAAAAGAAGAGCAGGGCTATTTAATAAAATCTGAATTTTGGAGAATTCATATCACCCTATAGGCCTGTTCTATAAAAAGCAATCTGTTCTCAGCTCCTTACTGCAAAGTTTGCCTTGTTTAAAGAGCCCCTGACATGTTCCAGTCAACTTTTCACAACTGAAGGATTTTAACAGCATCTTATTATAACTTTTTACTTTCTTCACTAGCTTCTTCATCACCATTACCAATGCCCAAGATAACTGCATGTAAATAAACAGATGAATCCTTCACAATGAGCCTTCATGACCTTCCAGAATTGTTGAGTAGTGCCAGTATACAGTCTTTATGATGCTTTTAATGTTTCTCCTCCTTGACACCTTCTCTGAGATCACTGGACACTAACACAGCTTCTCTTCCAAAATCTCAGGTTTTCTGGTCTCTGTGCAACCTATCAGCCTTGTGCAGTACAGTTGTGAGGATTCAGGTCTATGAAGGAGCAGGGAACATTTGCAGTGATGCTCACCCTTTGGGCTCTGCAAGGAAACAGCAGCTTCCATTTATGGAGACCTCAAAGGTCCCAGGCAAAAATCAAGGCCTTGCTGTGCCTGGCACTAACAAAGAGTAGGAGATAATCCTGCCCACCAAAGTTTACAGTATGAAGGTTACCAAAGATGAAGTAGGCATAGGTATCAAGCATAGGAAACAGAAGAAACTGTCAGACAGCAAATTGTGTTGAAACTAGTGTTGAACATGACTTATTCTGTAAAATATGGGATAAAACCATAAAAATGCTGTGGATATCAATAATCCTTTCTGCACACTCCTTGCTCTTGTCACCTGCAAATTTCATACAGATGTCAATGACTGAACTGCTGGACAGAATAGATGACAGTGGCTTCATGAAGAAAATCAAAAGGCAGAGGGAACAAACTGATAGAAGAGGCTGAAATCACTTGCACTGTTGAAGGTCAGCATGGAAAGTTAGGTAAGTGGGGAGAAGCAGAGGTCTGAAAACAAGATGCCTGTAGTGGATACCGTCAAACACAGAGTAGTGGTAGAGATACTTCCAGAGTGAAATGAAATAGCAGGATAATCTCTGCAGAAATATTTTCAAGAGATATGTGAGTCTGCAAGGTGCATGTTGGTGTGGTGGCTTGACCTTGGCTGGATGCCAGGTGCCCACCAGGTCACTCTATCACTCCCCCTCAGCTGGACAAGGGAGAGAAAATAAGATGGAAAACACCTTGTAGGTTGAGATAAGGTATGGAATATTCCCTTCGTCAGCTTGGCTCAGCTGTCCTAGTTGTGTCCCCTCCCAAGATCTTGCCCACACTGAGATGGAGAGCAGAATCTTGGAGAGACAGTGCTGATGCTGTGACAGCACTGCTCAGCAGTAGCCAAAACACATGTGTGCTATCAACACCTTTCTAGCTACTAGTGCAAAGCACAATACTATGAAGGCTGCTATGGGGAAATGAACTCCATCTCAGACAGAGCCAACACAGCTGATAAGGTAAAAGGGGAGAGATTCTCCAAAACTGAGCTGGGAGTTGAGACCTACTCAGTCAGGAAGTTCAGCAGCACTGACCACTGTGTAGAATCACCTGCCTTTGATGTGGACTAGGTGGCATAAAGGACTTAAGGGAAGAAGGAATCAGTGCTGACACCCAGGTGTTGAGCCTGAGTGACAAAGGACAACAGAGGCCGTGTAAATTTTGATAATGGCAGGGAGGACTAGGTAAAGAAGAAAACACCTTCCATTTTCTTCTGATAACTTGGCTGGTGGTCTGCTCCTTGGACAAACAACTGAAAATCTAACCTCTTCCTATCAGAAGAAAATCTAACTTTTCCTTTTCTGTGAGGTGACTTTTCCCCCCGTTTCAAGTGGAGATGCCATTTGTTGGTTGACTGCTTCTGTGATACCTGGAATAGGAAAATTTTCACTGTTGGTGTTGCAAGATATGTGGAATATAATGTAGGGAATACATTTGGCTATTTTGCAAACTAGCACCGGGTAAACTGCAATTCCTACACTATCCTTATGAGGACTGTTTTTTTTGATTCAGTAGTATTGATTCAGTATCCATTTACCTTTATCTGTCCTTTTTTCCCACACCCCAAAATAAGGCTCTATGATTTTATGAAAAGCTTTCTCTTTGCTAGTGTTGTCCAGGAAACCATTTCCCAGGTATCTTTGTGTCAGACCTGATGTATGTCATTCTGACACATTGGGTTAAATTTTAAATCTATTAATCAACTGTATTTTTCACAAAGCAATAAAGAAAGGAATCGTAAATCACAAGAGTCTCCTCATGTCTTGAATGAACTCTAGCATGTTGTTATCAATATTCTCATCTTAGTAGTTCAAAAATTATCACGGAATTCTCATCCTCATGGAGGCAGATAGTAATATCATTCCAATTATTGGAGGATAGAGAAGCTCAGAAAGAAAGGTTAGCAACCTCGTCCTAAAGTACTGAACTCAGAAAAAATACAAGCCAGGGAAAAAAAGTTCATTAATTCAAATTAACTTCTACTATCAGGACTTAGTAAGTGGTTGGTTTGAGATAATAAACATGCCCATCACAGAATCTGTGGTAAGAACTGAAGAGTTGTCAACCCACTGTTCAATTCATTAGAATGCTCTTCCTCTCTGCAAAAGCAATGAATGCTTAGCCTACAAAGGCACCCAACAAGTAAAAACCAAACAGCACAACCTGAAGTATGTATCTTGCTGAGATGCTGAAAAACCACCAGAAATGCTTCACAGCTCATACTGCAGGGGACAGGTATAAAACCTGCAGAGAGAGATTGGATGCCAGGTCCCAATTCAGGCTAAATGTGCCACTGGAAGCAAAGGGCACAAATGTGTCAGGAAAGAACTTTAATGCTAGCTGTGACAACTGCAGATAAGCAGCTTGCCTAGTTATTTTGTTAGAAGTCATCGTAGGATGACCTAAACACCTCATTGTAGAAACTAGATGGAACCTTTACCCCTGGGGCAATGACAAGATCACCTCAGTAACTAATGAGGCAAGGAGACAAAAGACTGGCTCAGCAAAGACCATGAAAGTGTCTGAGTTCTGTAAACAGGAAATCTTTCAGTGATACCTTCTGTACTAATACAGGACTAAAACTGTGTTTGATGGAGATAAAAACCATTGAAACGGTTTTACTTAGCAGCTATGAAAAAGCTCAATTAGCACAAATCTAAGTGCTTGCAATCTAAAGGAACAGCTGACCATCGGTTCAGCTTCTCCTTCAAAACTGGCTAGGGCACCTTCAAAACATGTCAGAAAGGTTTCTCAAAATTCTTTTCTTCCTCAGAATGTGTTGTCTGTACAGACACAATATGCAATGTATGTAAATCAGCAAACTTGCAGTGAGTGAGAGGGACTTGTCTGGCTCATCCTGTACAAAGCGATGCCTAAAATACCACACTTTCTGTTTCTTTATGGTTGTTCTATCTGAGGAAATGAAGATTAAAATGTTTGTACATCTCTGTAGCAAACAATCGCTGCCATTCAGATAGAGAGCACTAATCAGCTGCTTGCAGAGACAATGGGAACAGTCAATGCAGAAAGATACAGGGTGTCTGTATTTAAAATATTCTCACTGCACCTCCCTGCTACTTTGCTTAGAAAAATCATTATTGGAAAAGCAACAAAAGCCTCTAGTCCACATGCAAAAAAAATCCAATCCCTTTTCAAAGAGCTGGTAGTAGCAGATTAGCAATTCCAATATTCCCAGGCAACAGAGACTCACAGTCAGAGTTAAGGTGGTATGAGCCTCACAAAAGGCTGGCAGAGTAACACAGGGTCTCAGATGCAACAGCTTTCAGTGCAAATCTGTTTTTATCTGAAGCATCACCAATGGGTGGTGTCACTGTGCATTTAGTTTTGTAATAGACTATCACCATATGAGAATTATTTCTATGGTTGTAATATCACAAGTATATTGTGGTACATCATTCTGTCTTTTTTCCCCTTTTCCTCCTTTCATTGCTGTCATCAGTGCACTGTGAAGTGCCATAAAGGAACAAGTTCCTTTTTTAGCACTACATGCCAGTATCAATAGCTGCTATCCTGACTGTGTCCAGCTTTGATGTGAAGAACTGTAACAGTATGCAACACTAAAAGAACAGAGAAACTAACAACAGCTCTCCTTACATTTATGTAGAGATAGCTAATGTGTGCAAGGGAATTATTTTGGAGTCCTCATAGCACAAGTTGAAAAGAAATGTCCCTAAAAGAAGAGGGAAACAAGCTCACACAGTGTGATAATACTTCAATGATACAACTGAAATCCAGTGTCTTAAAAGCCATAGAATGGTTTGGGTTGGAAAGCACCTTTAAAGACCATCTAGTTCAACCACCCCCCTTGAATAAGCAGGAACATCTTCAACTAGATCAGTTTGCTCAGAGCCCTGCCCAACATGACCTTGGATGTCTCCAGGAATGGAGCATCCACTCTCCCTCTGGGTAACCTCTTCCACTGTTTTGCCATAAAAAACTTCTTCCTTATGTCTTGTCTAAATATACTCTCTTTTAGTTTAAAATCATTCCCCCTTGTCCTGTCTCAACAAGTCTTGCTGAAAAGTTCATACCCATCTTAATTATAGCTCCCTTTATGTACTGAAAGGATTTAATAAGGTCTCCCAGGAGCTTTCACTTCTCCAGGCTGAACAACCCCACTTCCTTATGTCTAAATATACTCTCTTTTAGTTTAAAATCATTCCCCCTTGTCCTGTCTCAACAAGTCTTGCTGAAAAGTTCATACCCATCTTAATTATAGCTCCCTTTATGTACTGAAAGGGTTTAATAAGGTCTCCCAGGAGCCTTCACTTCTCCAGGTCTCAACAAGTCTTGCTGAAAAGTTCATACCCATCTTAATTATAGCTCCCTTTATGTACTGAAAGGGTTTAATAAGGTCTCCCAGGAGCCTTCACTTCTCCAGGAATTTAATAAGGTCTCCCAGGAGCTTTCACTTCTCCAGGCTGAACAACCCCAACTCGCTCAACCTTTCCTCATAGGAGGGGTGACAAATCCCTCTGTGTAGTGGATTTGGCCTCATACATGCCTTGAAAAAGGCAATCAGTTCTCCCTGTGGGGGAGAAATGAGGAATACCTACAGGCAGGCCCTCACTGGAACACTTTGATCAACTTCTACCAAACTAGAACTGAGCTGAAAAGATAAACTGGTCAGGACTAAGGAACCGACATTCTCCTGTTTGTCCACAGGGTGTCCTCCTCGCTCTACGCGTTGGCCTCAGATGACCAACCTCTGCAGGGGAAAAAGGTCTCTGCTAAGAAAAATACCCAGGTAATGGTTCAGAGGTCTGTAGTTTGCTCAGCCCAACCTGCTCACATGCATTATGACAATATACACTGATGTTAGACCTCGCAGTTTCCTTTTGCTAGTTATTTTGGCTTGGCAGGTGCTGGTGTTGCAGTCGTATTTTTGAGCTGGATAGACTCATCACACTCTTTTCAGGATATGGAACTGGATTAAGAGTGTGCCACACGGACAACAAGTTCAGCAATGCTTTGCATGTTTTATCTGTCACTGACATTAAGAACCAGGGGTGTTTAGAGAAATCGCTTGGTTCATATCTCTGCTAATACATCATACTCTGGGACATTTAATAATATTTAATCTAGTTCAATTTTCAAATTGATTCCTCTGCCGCTCAGAGGGAATTACTCTGATGGCTAACAGGGCTCACATTTAGACCTGAGTTTTTTCTTTCATAACTGTATTGCTTTACTTCCAGTTACATCCTTTCCTCTACCCTAAAAATTCTTGTGCTTTGCTGGACATTGTCACACCTCAAATGTCTATAAACTGCCTCTTTCAGACCTGCTCAAACTGCTTTGTTTTGGAGTATGTGAGAAGGGAAGAGTGTGGAGAGGCTGAAATCACAAGTGACGGTGGGAATCCTTCTGCTGTCCACTTACCTGAGGTACTCGTAGAGTCCATACATGGGCAAGAAGTCAATGTCGGACAGAAACATGTATGGTGTGCTGATGTGCTTCATGGCCACATTCCTCAGCAGATTCACAGGATAGAACTGGCCCTCCTTGTACACGATATGGTAGCCAACGTTGTGGCGGCTCATCAGTACCTCTGAGCCCTGAGCGTAGCGCAGAAATTGCTGGGCTTCCGCGTCCGAAAGGTAGAGTGCCAGGCTGATTGGACCTTCCCAGTGTTTACAGATGGCTTCAAGCATCTGGAGCCTGAAAGAGGAAGGGTGAGAATATGAAAAAGCTATTTCCCTCTCTGGGACTCTTTGCCTGGGTTCACCTGATCAAATGCAGATGTCTTTCTCTAAGTGAGACAGATTGGGGACACTTCATATGCCATGGCAAACAATAAATATTTCTACAGCACAATTCATCTCATCTAAGTTGATGCCTCCTTCTAGACAGTTGGACTGCACCCTAGATATGCTTATTTCACTGAATCCAAGGGAGCCTAAGTTGGTCCTAGCTCAGACACCTAAAGCTCAGTGAAATCAGCACTGTCATTTTCTGCCTAAAGCTTCGATGCTGCCAGAAAACCCGTATGGATGAAGGGCCTTATCTGATGGGATCCCCATGGATCTACTTGCAGGATAGGGGTCTTGTAATCTTTAAAAGTGACTAGTGCCAGGTCACATTTTAGGTCAAGCTGTTCTCACACAGTAACATACTTCAGTGCTCTTCAACAAGCTTTGGAGGATAGAGGTGTACAGAGTCACAGATCATTTTACCTCCTCTTTAGGAAAACTTTCCCCAAATTTTTGCAAGTTAATCAGATCTTAAAAGTTGTTAAAAGTGACAGGTCAAGGAATATTGACTTACGGGAACGTTTGCATCAACTAGAAGAATAATCACTATCAGGGAAAGGGCAAAATGAATACCCAGAAATAGAAATGGGATTTACTATTAGTAGGGAGTAAGGAGGGTAGGAGGGAGAGACATGGCATTGCTGTGGAGTATCAGAAAAACATTTCAGACAAAACCACCATTTAAAGTACTAACTTGTAAACATTTTACCAGCATCTAAAAATTTCACTAAATCAGTTTTCAAACAGGTTTATTGATGTATAATTGTAAAAGATTCCAGCACTTAAAATACTATGGATGAAAATGACAACAAAAGTTTTCATATGCAAATGTAAATCAAACCCAGCCGGATCTAAATAATTTCAGCACTTTGGGTATTTTATAGAGAATTGCCTAGAGATTGAGATGTGCCACCGAAAAATACAGCAAGGACTGATTACAAAGCCTCCTGAGTTAATACAAAGGGAAACGAACTATGCATCCTAGCCAGATATTCTATTAAAAATTAGGAAGAGTAGACTATGTAAAATGATTATCTTCACCCTGTTTCATTACTAGATTTTTCCTATTAATATTTATACAAAACACCATAAAGTTTTCTGCATCATCACAATCAGAGAAAATCATTTTCCCCCTCCTGCTATGTCCCTAAGATTTGCAACAGAGAGGAATGATATACTCATTCCAGTAAACACACAGTCTGACTTAACATTAATAGCTTTTCCCTGCATTTCTGAATGATTGTGATCACATCCAAGATGATAAAATTATTTTTTCTTATATATGAGATATTACCTTTACTAGTCTACACCTGATACATTATTTTCTTTTTATCTATTACTGAAACAAAGGTTATTATCAGCCTGAAACATCCAGCCAAATTAGAAACACAAATCAATAAAAAATATCTAAAAAGCATGTGAAGCCTTTTGTTTTTTTGCCTTTTTCCAACATAGTGGAAACCTATTAATCAGGAGACTCCAATCCCTCAGCACTCAGATTTAGAGATTTAGGGCAGGCTTTTAAAAATGGAATACTTGCCTAGTAAAAAATGAAGCAAAATGCTTTATATGGACTCCACATGGTAGACAAGTGCCATACACAACTTATTTAAACAGCACACCTGATAATGCCTACAAAGATTTTTGTGATAGTTAAGAGGAAACTAGGTTTTGCTGGTATAAATTTCAAGCTGGAGAGCTTAGTACCCTTCAAAATACTCCATTTTGCTGTATGGTTCTCACTGAAAGGCTCCACTTTCATGAGTTTGACAGACTCCTAGGTGATACTCCATAATCTGCTCTCTGTAGGGTGTTACAATAGTGTCCTTTGACCATACAACTTAGAAATAAGAGATTCTAAGCACAACATGACCAACTTATGATCAACTGGTTCAAGGTAAGGGTGGATGAAGCCTTGAGCAACCTTATGTAGTGAGGAGGTGTCCCTCCCATGGCAGGGAGGGTTGGGACTTGGCGATCTCTAAGGTCCATTCCAAGCCCTGAATTCTATGATTCTAGGATTATTTTGGGTTTTTTTAGTAGTCTTGAGGAATGCAATTCTCTTAAGGACTCTAGAGAAAATAAATGTACTGCTGCACTACATAATAATGAGATCATAATTCAGTTGGCAAATTTTTAAAGGTCTGTTTCAGCTAAGTGAATGTTGTTAGCATTCAGTGGTTTTGTGAGATTCTTTGGCTTTATTTTTATTTTTAAGTATACTCAACTGGTTTCCAGCTCACCTAGATTTCAGGCAGTGTGCTGCTAGTCATGTCTTTCCTTGTTCCCATCCTAACCTTACACATTAGTAACTCCTACCCTGATTTCTGAACCTCAGGTATATACCAAGCCTGTAAAAGGTATATACCTAGCCAAAACAGATGTATGAAAACGAGTGATGCAACCTAGCTGTTATCCAAGGACATGTCAGATCAGTATAAAAGATGACAATCAGTAATGAACAGGATGACAGGATTGACAGTGAATGAGAAGCTCAGCATGAGCTGCAGTGTGAGCTCAGCCCAGAAAGCCAATGGAATTCTGGGCTGCATCCAAAGGAGTGTGGGTCAAAAGAGGTGATTCTTCCCCTCTACTCTGCTTGTGTGAGATCCCACCTGGAATACTGCACACAGTTCTGGTGTCCTTAACATAAGAAGGACGTGGAACTGTTGGAGCAAGTCCAGAGGACATCACAAAGTTGCTAAGAGGACTGGAGCATCTCCCCTATGAAGACAGGCTGAGGGAGTTGGGTCTGTTCAGCCTGGAGAAGAGAAGACTGCGTGGAGACCTCAGAGCAACTTTTCAGTCTCTGAAGGGCCTATAAGGGAGCCAGAGAGGGATTCTAAGTTAGGAATTGCAATGATAGGACAAGGGGTAACGGGTTCACATTGAAGGAAGGGAAGTTTAGGTTAGATATTAGAAAAGGATTTTTCCTGTGAGGGTGGTGAGACACTGGCACAGGTTTCCCAGGGACGTGGTGGCTGCCCCGACCCTGGCAGTGTTCAAGGCCAGGCTGGATGAAGCCTTGAGCAACCTGATCTAGTGAGAAGGTGTCCCTGCCCATGGCATGGATGGTTGGGACGACGTGATCTGTAAGGTCCATTCCAATCCTTAAATTCTATGATTCTACGATTCTATGAACAGCAATGAATGAAGTCTGTCTCAAAGCTTCCATCTGAAGACAGTGTTATCTCCTAAGCTACATCCCTCTCTTTTGTTCTCCAAGCCAATAGTACAGGCAAACATAGGTCTGTCACAACAGTCATGTCAGTCTCATTTCACACAGGACTATAATTGGAGATGCAGGGTTGTTCTTTTGCCTCTCCTCATCTCAGATAATCATTTCAAAGAACAATGCAGGAATGTAGTGTATAGCACATTGTTTATGTACATGTCATCCTACATCTGAGACGCTATTCTTAAGTGTCTACAGTTGTGCTGGAGGAGCTTAATAAAAGTGGTTTAAAGAAGATACAGAAAAAATGAGGCTGTAACTGAAAGATGTGAAAGAAAACAAAGCAGCTAAACTGTTCTTTGGTATGATATTATTTATTGATTTTAGCTGAAAGAAAGTATTTCCAACTCAAATCAATAATTTATAGCAACACACCAACAAAGTAGGGAAGATTTTTCCTGCACAGTATCAGGATGGCTCTTCTTCCTGAATAAAAATGTGTTTTTCTGTCTATCAATAAAAACATGTGCCCCAGTGAGGATCCAGAAAGGGAAACAGATGCTCAGATTTTGCATCAGTGCCAGTGAATCAGCATTGAGCCCCAGCTCAGTCTTTTGAATTAAATTCTGGGGGGAAAATATAGCATGTGCACATACCAGCTTTACTAATTTACTGTGGCACTCACTCGGGGTCTGATTAATTTCTTTCTTTAGTTCTTTACTGAAAGATTTGTGAACACTTAAGAAATGTTTCCTCAATTAAAAATCAATAGAACAGACGCTGATGCTCACAGCAAATCATAACACAATGTGCAGAACGTGGTGCTGAGGCACTGGAGGAACAGAATACCCCTCATTCATTTCTGTTTATTTTTAAACCAGGCTGTAAATGTTATGTTGATCTCGATTCCTGTAACCCTCCTGGAATACTGCTGACCTTCTACTAGTGTAGCAGTGGTGTTATTCATGGGCCATGTTGTGTTCTCTATGTGCTCCGTTAAAGGAAATAATATCTGGCTAATGTTCAAGGAGTTCTGATCTGTTTTATAACCCACTCTGATAGCAATAACCACAAAGTTTGGCCTAGATTTGAACTGAGAAGCAGGAGTGGAAAAAAAAAGACTGAGAACACCAATATTTCACAAAGCTGGCTGATCCAGACTGCACTTTTGGAGCTTCTGAAAAATGACAACTAATTGCAATAGTGGCAATCAGAAAGGTGCAGGTGGAGCTTGTCACAAAACGGAATTTTTTCCCCAAATAAAATGCCAGTTAAATTCCATTTTACCTCAGAACTAAAAGTTGAAATTCTATTCTGAAAATCAAGATTTGTATAAAGATGCAGTGACTGTGATCAAAAGGACATTTTTCATTTCCCAGTAGCAGAGTATAAACAAAAAAAAGCATAATTTTCAACTTCCTAATTTGAAACTAAAGTGTTTAGTTCTGATTTTCATTCCAAGAAAACTACCTAATTCAAATTTTCTGCATGGAAAACGTCAATGAAAGTAAAACTAACATACTCTAATGAGGCAATAACGTGTAAAACCTTGGTCAGCTACAACCGCTTGCCTAAGTCTATAACAAACATATCCTGTCAATGAAAGTAAAACTAACATCCTCTAATGAGGCAATAACATGTGTAAAACCTTGGTCAGCTACAACCACTTGCCTAAGTCTATAACAAACATATCCTGTTTTTCCTAAGTTGCTGCAAAACTCCAAAAACTAATAATGCCTGACAATCCTGACAAGGAACAACCCCTGCATTTCCAGCATTCAGCCTCTCATGAACTCTACTCACACTCCTGTGTGCACTGCAGAGTTGAAGTCTGGATTCATGTCTGATATCTACGTGTACTACTCCTAGTTTAAGAAAGCTTTTCACCTGGATTCATGTCTGATATCTACCTGCACTACTCCTAGTTTAAGAAAGCTTTTCACAATACAACATCCAAGTTTCTAAGCGCATTTTTTCTCTCTTCAAAGCATTACACAGTTTGATTTCTCTGTAAGAAAACATTAATTGTCTCACACTTCTAGATGACCAAGAGATTTTCCCTACCTGTCCATGGAAAGTTGTGCCACCAGTGTGACATCAGTGTTGTCTGACGCAGGCTCGTACTCGTAGTGTAGGAAATACAAATGAGTGCGATGGACAGTGAAACGTTCTCGACGAAATTCATAGCACAAGTCATCCTCATCCAGCTCAGACAGCTGTTTCTGGAGCTGTAGGCAAAGAGTGGACATAAAGAGAAGTTCTTTGTCATTATTTTAGCAAATCAGAGAGAATGAGGAGGTTGGGAAATTGCAGCAATATGCAACGGGGAATGGAAGTGCAATATATAGAGTAGCATTTTTTTCCCAAGCCTTGCAAGTCACTGGAGAAGAGATTAGAAGAAAGCACTTGTACGTAAATTCATAAAGCAGACAGACCATTGTATTATGGTCTGTATATTGTATATATTATCTGTATTACATACTTTCAATGTCCAGCCTAGCAATGAAACAGTGAACAATCACAAGCTGAATAATTGCTGCCCCTTCTTGAGAAGAGGCAGCTCAGGGTGTCCTCATGGCTGTCTGCAACTACCTGAAGGGGGTTGGAGAGAGGTGGGGGATATCTCTCCTGTCATGGCTGCAGGCAGAGAACTAGAGGTAATGGTCATAAACTGAGACAGGGGAGAGTCAGATTAGATGTTATATTTTTCCCCTGTTAGGGTGATCAGGCACTGGAATAGGGAATTGCCCAGGGAGGTGGTGGAGTCATCATCCCTGGAAGTGTTTAAGAGGCATCTGGATCTGTCACTGGAGGATATGGTTTAGGGTTTATTGGTTCCAGCAGTGACAGGGTAATGGTTGGACCCGATGATCTTAGAGGTCTCCTCCAACCTTGATGGTTCTGTGATCGCTAAGTTTCAGAGTTAATGCTCCAATGTGATGCACAATTTCATCCTTACTAGAAGCAGTGTTTGAAACTACTCATAGACATACTTCACTAGACAACAGTCAGCAGCAGATTGAGATTGCGTGTGCTCCACCTAGCAATTCCCTTTCTGCTGCCTCTGTGGGAGAACAGTAACTGCTGCTAGCAACATGGACAGACAGCTAGAAGAGTAACATCTTTAACTGATCATTATTCCATCTATAGAGATTTATGTATCTGAACTAGTTCAACTCTGCAATGAAAAGATTATTTCAACTGCAGATGTGTCAGACTTAAGCCTACACTTTTAACAGGATTTATGCTTCTGGATACCTAGTTTGAGGATCCCAGAGGAAGGTAGATTAGCAGAGAACAGGTAACTTTTTCACTTCCTTGAAAACCAAGACCCTTAAAAGTAAAAATGAGCATCTCAAGGCAATCCAATCCCAAGTCTCTTAGACATGTAGCTTTCAGAGAACAACAGTTTAGCTCTGGGGAAAGGAAGCAAAAACCTGACCAAATATCTACGCAACTGACCAATTCCATTCCTGAACTCATTCTTTTGGGGGGTTGGACTAGATGACTGTTAAGAGGTCCCTTCAAACATATATCTATGCTATGATTCTAGGGTTCTATGATTTTAAAGACAAACATTTGGCTAGAATATTTAAAATGCATTAATTTAAAAGGAAGAAAACAGTCACACCTACTGTAAAATGTACTACAAAATGTAATAAAGATGAAAATTTTATGTGGTCTTAACATGTGAAATTGAGTTCTGTTTCTGTTGCTCTAAAAATGCTCATTTTATAGGAATTTTACAAGTTTTGATAAAAGTCACAGTGTACTTCAAAACTGCTTCACGCAAAAGTACTGAATTATAGACATTCATTTAGATTTAAAAACCTTTTTGTTCTGATCAGAATGTCTTAAAGTCATAGTTTCATCACCTTCAAGAAAAAAAAAGGAAAATATAGGTATTTTTTGTTCTAACACTGTGCTAAGAAGAAGAGCTGGTGTTCTTGGAGCTATAAACATAATGGTTGCCATTAACAATAATGCTTACAACTGAATGTTTTCCTGTGAAGGCTGATGGAATAATTCCTGATATTTTCCTGTACATCACTCTATAATCTTCTTCTGAATAATGGAAACACCTCCTTTGATTTCAATGAGTTTTGGATCAGGCTGTCATTCTTCTGTGCTGTTGTCCTGCACAGATCTTAAAACAACCCTCAGGGCAGACTCCTTTTAGAAAGCTGAGAGTATGATTCTTGACAAATCTTTACTAGGAAAAACTTCTATTGAAATCAAGATCTCTTTAGGTGGAATAGAAATTAGGAGTTCTTTTACATATCCTTGGAGTTTCATTCTTTTTGCTTTACAAATAATCCATTCAACTGAGCCTGTACTTTCTTTTCCAAATCCCATTCAAACAATATTTGAATTAAACTCAATATTTATAACAATGATTACAAAGCATATCATGCCTTTCTCTTTCTTTCTTGAAAAGGGACATTAGTATGCCCTTAACTGAATTACCAAGATGACTGAAATCTAAATGGCTAAAACAACAGCAGTGCACATTTCAGGGGTGCCTTACTTATCTTGCTGTATGTACAAATGACCATGCTAGAATTTTTTAATTGCACAGCAGTTATTCACCAGGCAGTCACTTAATGATTATCAGATTGCATTTGGGTTGAAAGCCAAGAGGCTACAAATAGTTATGAGTTCAAGAATAACATTTGGAGCTAAATTATGGCTTTGTGCACTACAAAACCCTGGGTGGGGGAAGAGGAAAAGACACAGCTTCTTGAGGCCTCACCATTTTGATGGTGAAACTCAAAAAGTCACAAAGTTGGTGATGGAGGTGAAGGAGAGAAGGAAACAGCAAAATATTCCTTCTCCTACAGGGAAAAGGAAATCTTGCTCTTTCCATTGCATTTTGTAGGGTCAGGGTTTTGTTTCTGTCCTCCTTGTGTACACAGAAAGGCAACAAAGCTGGTGAAGAGTCTAGAAAACATGCCTTATGAGGAGTGGCTGAGGGAATTGAAGTTTTTGTTCTGGAGAAAGGGAGGCTTAGGGGGAGACCTCATTGCTCTCTACAACTACCTGACCTGAAAGTGGAGTAAGGTGGAGGTCGGTCTCTTCCATGTCTCAAGTGAAAGGACAAGAGGAAATGGCCTTAAGTTGTGACAGGACAGGAGAGGTTCAGATTAGATATTAGAAAAGTTTTTTTCACTCAAAGAGTAGTTAGGCATTGGAATAAGTTTTCCAGGGAGGCAGTACCACCTCTGGAAGTGTTCAAGAGTTGTCTGGATGTGGCATCTGGGGGTACAGTTTAGGGGTGATTATGGTGGTGCTAGGTTGACAGATGGACGAGATGGTCTTGATGATCTCACAGGAGAGGTTCAGATTAGATATTAGAAAAGTTTTTTTCACTCAAAGAGTAGTTAGGCATTGGAATAAGTTTTCCAGGGAGGCAGTACCACCTCTGGAAGTGTTCAAGAGTTGTCTGGATGTGGCATCTGGGGGTACAGTTTAGGGGTGATTATGGTGGTGCTAGGTTGACAGATGGACGAGATGGTCTTGATGATCTCTTCCAACCTTGATGATTCTATGCTTCTCTCCTGTCAGACTTTTTCTGAGCCTGCAGCTATGCTGATAGTCTGAGAGGTTCTCCTTGGCACATCCCATGACTCATTCTCTGTACTATATGTAGTGCTGAGACCCAAGAAAAGAGGTGAGATGGCTGTATCCATACTCCTTGGAGAGAGCAGTCCCCAAAAGGACCATGGGCACAGTGTGCTCTGACTCTCCCCAGCCTCTGTCCCCAAGCACTGTCCCCTTGAGTGCAGGCAGGCTGCCAGGGGAAAGCCCCAGCACAGGCTGTCTGAGAGTCTTGGACCCTTGGTAGGCCCAGACACACGGTTCCATCACCACTTTGCCGGAATGCTTGTGCAATCCTTGCTTGCTCATACCATGAGCCTAAACTGGTAGGCAGCCTCAAGAGCCACGCTCTGCAGGCTGGGCAAACACAGCTTACCTAGGGTGTGCCACTTCAGGCAGGACAACCAGCACAGGATGAGCTGTGATTTGCCCAAGTAACACTGTCACTGCATATATGCAGTGTGCACTAAGGACAGATGGGGCTATCATGCACTGGTGAGGCAATGGCACTGGAATGCAATAGCATGTGTTTACCCATATGAAAACCACTCTCCTACTGGAAGCAATGCTGGACATGCTAGGCACTCTGGATTTGGTCCAGCAAAACCCATAAGCTCACAAGTTATCTCACTGTAGCTAATGGTATGATATGGACAAATGATCAGGATGAATAGCTTGATGCTACAGAGTTTTATGCAGTTTAAGAGCCCTTTTCCCTCTCTTGCTTTCTTTGATCCCCTCATTCATCCATAAATTCAGACACCCAGGCCTCAGTATCACACACATATATAAAGGCTGCTTCCTCTCTGTTATGAAGGGACACATACCACCTATAAATACTTATTGCACACAGTCATATGCTATTTTTAACGCACATATTTGAAATGAAGAATGCTAAAGATGCAAAACATTCATAATACAGTGAATTGGTTGAGACAGACCTCTTTCTGAGGTACATCATAATATTTTTTGGTTAGAAGATCACATAATATTTCTCTGATGATATAATCGTTTCTACAGCATGCCTATTATGTGGATCCATTATTTACAGATAAAGAACTTGTAGATTGGTTTAAACTTTGCTCCCAGATTATGCCTGCATGAAAAGATGAGTTTATAATGGCAATGCTGACAGATCTATGCAAACAGATGCTTAAACACAGTGTACCATCAAAATAAGGGCCTTAATATCAGTTGGACTTGATAAAAAGATGGCATCTCCATTATGGACCTCTTCATTGTGTTTACAGTGATATGCTTAATACAGCAAAGACTGCTTAACCATAGAGTGACAGCATGTACTCTCATAAGCAAGTACCTGCTTAGCATAAGAATCTCTGTTTCTACGAGAGTTTCAATGCTAAGGCTACTTGCCACTGAACATGTGGGAAATGTCACCTCTAGGAAACATTCTCACAGTTGAAAAACGTGTTATTTTCAGATTGTGTCTGGTAGATGTTCTCCTAGGAAATACTGTAGTGAGAAACAACATGTGCTTTCATTAGCATTGTGATGCTACCTGTTTCAGAAACAGCAACCATGGCATGCATAATGCCAAAACAAAGAGACAAATGCACAAAGAAATACAGGCTAAATTACTCCTCTGGGCAACCAGCTGTGGCAGGGAATC